CAAATAATGTATTATATATATATCTTTAAGCTCTTGTAATAATTTTCACACTCTCATAGAGAGAACAAAATGTATCAACTAACTAGACGCGCCAAACATAACATAATTCAATTTCAAAACGTGACAAAGAACACAACGATAAAGACGATAGAGAGAAAAAGAACATATAGCGCGAAACTCGCGCGAAATCAGAAACAAGACACGTGACGACACAAGGTGCCGTCACACCCCCGTCCTTTATTTATTGATTTCATAAAATTCTTTTAAATTAAAATGTGACACCCCTATTCAATAGACAGTACACACCAACCATGCGAAAAAATAATTTCCTGGGAAGAACGTCAAGGTAAAATAAAACACAAGATATTTAAATGTTGAAACATAAATATATTACTAGAAAAAAATATTCATTACGGTGCATGTTTGTTGAAGAGTTGGCAAATAAACTAAATACGTAGAGCCTAAAATAATGAATGTATCTAAGTATATAGAAATGAAAATAGAAAGTAACACATATTCATGATATACATTGTACAAATGTATAAATGAAGCATAAAATAAGCGTTTGCTGTGCTACTTGATTGATTCATTCTTTTTGCTTTTCCCATCGACTATTCAAACGGTAGCAATAATGACGTGATGAAGTCAAACCATATAGTTTTAATTTCTTCTTTGAGCAGCCAAACCGTTTTCAGATTGCTTCGGACATACATTAATAATCAACATAAAATATGGACATGTATCAACTTGCCAACGTCAAATTAAAACTTCTCAACATAATTAATAACTGAACTATTAACGAAATGATTAAAAATTCTTCACCATTATTCTGAATGTCTATCAGCTCGATATTGCAGTCGATTATTGTATGCTTAAATATAGCCAAGAAAAATATGTATACCAATAACGTTATGGCATTTCGGTGCATCTATATCTACAAAACGTTTATAAGTTGATTCCTCGATGTTGAAATTTTACAAGTAATCATGTATCTATGAAATTACATTCCATCAGAAATTGATAGTATACTTTTAAAATATTCTATAGATAAATAAAACATATTTGCCGTATCGAATGAATCCTGGGTTGATATTTGATTATGTTCTGTATGAAGTATCTTACATGAGAAAATTCCAACATTGAAATCATTAATCGGTAGTCAGCATTGTCTTAATAGCTCTATTATTCACAACTATAGATATGATGGAGGCGACTGATTCATGGAACAATAATGTATGACGAATGAGATTCATTCATTGATAAAGAGCTCGTATTATTTATTCGGGGGGGAAATTTGCTAAAAAATGATAGCACGTAAAAGTATATCACATCTTGTTTTGGACATAGTCTAAGCAGAATCAAAGCAAATAATATATGTATCCAGACAAATCGAAGTATTCTGATTCGTTTCGACCTTCGATATGAACCGATGTAAACCAATAATTGATATATTTACAGATTCTAAATATTTCGGAAATAAAATTTGTGTTTTTCACATGGCAGTATGCTTGATCAATTGATCTGATAGCAAAATACATGAATCAGTAGTGCAGATTCAATCGAAAAAGACTTGAAATACGTGAAAATACTGTTTAATATTATAATATTGAGCAAAACAAAATGTTCAATTACTAATATTACTTATCATTATAACACTACATATATTTTATTTGTAAAGCAGAAAGAAAAAAATTATAAAAGTGTAATACATGCGATTAGTGTTACATATGAAAAGCAATAAATTTTGAAGTAGATTATTGGTTCAAGTTTTCTGATGCACATAATAATTGAATTTAAAATAATGCCTTGAATTCTGCTTACCACAATAGCAGGTCTTTCGGGTGCATTCTGTAAAGAAAAGAATTGTATAGGCAACAAATTTTAATCCTACGATTCAGCATCGAAATGAAAACGATGCATATCGAAAATGTTAAAATAGCAACTGATAAATATTTTACTTGTGCATTATTCACAAAGATGAAGAACAAATAAAATAAAACATAGACATACATATTAAAAGTCGCGTCTGTTTAATTATGTTCCAAGATGTACGCGACCTTGACTGGCTGTTGACGCACGTTCATTTGAATGAACAGTGGTCGAAACATCCGCTACATCTGATAACGGATTTTGTCCACCCTTTTCTCTCGTATAATAATCATGATGTAATGTTTCATCACCTATTTGTTTACATAAAGCTTTACGTTCATTTAATTCAATAGGTCTTAAACACCTACTTCGATCATCTACTTCAACATGACGTCGTTTAGGCATTCTAACATAGACTCCACTCATATTTTTGATACCTTCCATTATACAATCAAGATAGTTTAAAATTTGATTTTGCTGAAAAGAATATGTTTCAATATGATACAACATACTAATAAGAAATCTCACTTCATCACGTGTCGCTTTTACTTGGTCACGAATTACTTGCACTTGACTTTCCAGTACTTGTATTTTTTTTAGCACAACCTCTTGTGAACTATGACTAAATTGATCAAATGTATCCATTAGGAGAATTTGTTTCCTGTTTTGAAAACTCTACTTACGTTGATTCTTCATCAATTTCATGTTCTTCACTTAAGGGTTCACGAGGTTTTGAATAATTATAATAAGTATCATCAACAAGTGCATCTTCAGCTTTTTCGATAACAGAAGCAAATTTTTCACTGCACGTTATCCCTATGTAGAGAAATAGAAATTAGAGTCGAAACAAAAAAGGAAGATTTCTATCACTATATGTAGTTCGTTTTCTGTGTTGATCATATATTTTTTTGAAACATTCTGATCTGTAACATTTTAGCAAAGTGTATAGCACTAATCGCCAAACATGAGACAGAAGAATGAGTGGAGGTGGTAACGATGGTCGAGATAAATATTCGCGTATTAATTCATATCGTTGAAATTTCCAAATTTCATCGGTATTAGTATGAAGTCGATCGAATATATAACTAGAAAAAAATAAAAAATGAGACAATATGAACATTAAATTAGGCTATTAGATTTTCGAGGCATTATGTGGCAACATGCTGGTCTGATTACTAGAGTGATTTTTAAATAGCCCTTGATTAGTATATCAATTGTTATATGGATCTGTTCTCAAACTTCGAGATTTCTTTTTAAAAAAAATGTCTAAATACTTTGCAAAGGATAAGTCATTTTTGTTGGTGACTGCTACAACAAATGCACCAAAATAAGAAGTCCGAGCAATTCTGATTCAAAAACTAAGTAATGCAATTTCTATCCATTGAAAATAATATCCTATTGATAACTATGTTCCATAAGTTACTAATATGTCTCATGCGCAATTCGGAACCGACACGAGTCAATATTAGGTTGATATGCGCTGACTAATAACCGATGGCCGATATATTGCAACATCTAACGAGTTTCAGTAGTGATGCTAACAAAAGTGTCGTATGAGCTTCAGCATTTCATCGCAACATTGTCTGATCGTCATATATCAATGAGTATAATTACAACATTTTCTTATGGGTTTGGTCTATTGTCATAAATCCTAATTCTATATATTATGATACACGTAGCAACTAAAACAAAGATACATGATAGCCATATTTTCATGAAAAACATGGACATTATGTTTTGCTCGGCTACAATAACAAGGTCCAATGAGAACAACAGAAAGTCGCTTCAATAAAGCTGATCAATTTGAAACACCTGCTATAATGTAAACTCGCCTAAAATCTGATTCAATTATAAACTGAATATAGAACTGTCAGAATATCTGAATCATTGAATAGGAGCTGCTGTTTCGAAATCATAAATCAAGCGCATATATGAAGAAAAATCGGTTAAAAAAACAGTAGAAAGCAACTAGAGTTTGATAGAATTTTGTGTAGTCGTTCTATAAGAACATTTTCGTTCAATACCTGAGCATTGCAATAAGCAAATTGACTAAAAGTACACTAACAATTGCCATATAGACAACGAGCAAAAAAAATAGAGCATAGCCATTGGCCTGATAATTTTCTGAAAAGAAGTGAATTTATAGCTTCAAATTATAAGAGTACTATTTCTTGTTTTCTCACTGTCGAATAATTGCAATGAACTTAATTCTCCAAACATTTGCCAATAAGCGAGATTTATAATGTCACGAAGTATGTGCCAGCTCAGTACCTTCGTGCCGTATAAAAGACTATGAAAGCATACACCAAAGCCCAAAATAAACACAGTTAACATAAGCATGAAAGACTTCAAATCATTTACCTTAAAATAATTTTTAGAAAAAGAAATAAATTCGAAAAAAACAATTTCAAAGATTTATGTAATTACCATTTCACCAATCATAACAAGTTTGGGGCCCAGTCGTCTGATAGCTGCAAATATATCTAATGAACGTATAAACCAAAGCGTTAGATCGAATGATAACACAATGCGTGCTGCACAAAAACATTCTGCTGGTGGGCAAAATCGAAGAACACAACCAACATAGAAAAGTAATATAGCTAGAGCATCGAGCTTATTCCAAAATGGGCTAAGATAAATTGAAATTTTTTTATAAATCGAAGGTGCTTCTCCAGAGAACAACTATAAAAAATTGACATCGAAAAATGAAAGACAAAATCAAATAATATCAAAATTACTTGTCGAAGTTCTTCAAGTAGTAATGTTGAAACCCAAACGAAAAGGATGTATTCTTCAATAGATGGGTGACCATGTTTTTGAAATCCATATGGCACTGTAGTATTTATTTTAGTCTCATTGTTGTGATTCGATTGAGTTTTAGTTACATTTTCCAAGTCTGCGACATTTTCAAGTTCATGGGACGCTCCACATGAATCGAATGGAATATCATAAAGAGGGAAGAAATTACATAATAATGCATAGGTGAAAAGTAATAAAAATGCCACATGACAATACTAAAAGAAGAAGACAAATAATTAACAGATACAAAACGATTGGGTAAATCTCTAAGAAACTAATCTACGAAAAATGATGTGGATAACGTTACTAATCGCAAAAACATTGTTGTATTTTATCGAATTATATGAAATTTATATGTGGCCTGTGATTAAATATGACTAATATCTATCAATACTAATGTAGAAGGAGGTAATTTGAGTACTAACTGTATTTCTATGAATCGTGTTCCGTAAAAATGTGCGAATGAAATACTTACAAAACTGTATAAATATTTAATATATGGAGCACTTATGAATTTTATAATATCGCCACAATATGTTTTAACAAGAGTCATTGTCCTTGAATTAAAGAATAGAAATAGACACAGCTAAATCGTTTGTTATAAACATGAATTTGAAGTTGGATTTTTGATTATCAGATATTTCAAGCGTTAATTTAGTTAATTCATATTAGTTCTATAGCAAAAATAAGATGTTAGTATCTGTGAACTATGGTCTTTGGTTTACTTTTCAAAACAGCCAACAGGCTTGAAATTTGCAGGACGAGGCTCTTCGATTGTAACATCATTGATTAAACCTGACGTAACATCGTCTGATTCTCTAAAATAATAGTTATAAGAGAAGAATGAATGAACAATTGCAATTAATGAAATTTAGGCATTATGGAGAATATATTCAATTATCATGCGTATGTTTCGATATGACATATTATGCATGCTGTAGCAGGGATGCAACGGTAGCGATAACCGGTTTTAACGGTAACAGATGCATCTGTATGTGTGACGGATTTTGCTACTGATACAAATCACAGATGTAAATGATATTATTGTAAATGAATATTAGTTGTTATAGTTATGTAGTACAGTATAATTGAATTTGCGGTGTTCAAATTCATGGATGGCTAGTACTCTTCTCGATACTACATTTAATTCTTTACTTCATCTATTACGCTGCTTTCAATTCAATTTTACTCTGGCTCTTAAAAATGATGTTTTTCACATAGACTGTATATGAATTTTTTTCAGTTTAATAGTAGCACAAACACTGTTGAAACATGAATATGCGTGCGCTTTGCAACGTATTTTTTCATTTCAATAAATACATGTAGTACTATTTTCAGTTTGGATAATCAAATTATATACATTTTTCAGCCACATGAAACTTCAGTTCTCATGTTTAAATTATTTAGACATTTTAAATAAAACAAATAAAAACTGAAAGCTAGAGATCTTTTATTTATATATATATATATATATATATATTCTGACTTATTTATGTTTGATATCTTCAACATGAAAATATTACATTATTACGTGGCTGCAGAGACATTCACACGAAGAATTTTTTCCATGTCGTATGAAAACTACACCATGGAATAAGAGAATCAGATTACTAGCAATCATGTACATTATTGACGTTTGATGATATTTTAACAACTACCATTCTACATCGACATTATAACTCAGAAAAGTTGTGCAACGCGATCATTCTTAGTATAAAAGTGCTGGTCCACTAATGGTACATACTAGTTCAACTATGAGTGCATAGATACGTATATGACATCTGCAAATAAGTACTCGATTCAGTTAAATCACCTGTGTATCAGTTCCACTATCAGCAATTGTTGAAAAGATATCTGCAAAAAAAGAGAATTGGTCACCCCCTCAATATATCCTCAACTGAAACTTTTGGCTTTAAATAAATACATTTGTGGAAGCTAAACTGTTGTTGAAGCCATGGGAGACCGAACGTAATTGTTGCCATTAGCAACTAGTTCCAATCAAGGGGGAGCAAACTGATTTCAATCTCTGAAATCAAGTAAAAAATCATCGAAATCACACGAAATCACGAGAAATTAATAGAAATCATGATTTTTCTATTTATGAGACAGTCCACATAAGCCACGACGGATTCACACAGAAGCGGTTCAACCGAGGTCTCCATATTGCGTTCAATTAAAGATATGTTGTAAAGACATGAGTTCTAAGAATTTTGACACAAACCGTTTAAAAAAATATTAATCAATTGATTTTTTATGAGCGTTATACAAAAAGCCCCAACATTCACGATATCTGGAAAGCGGGTTCTATTGGAGTCCTATCGCAAGAACAATTCAACTAATTGAGCTGAAATTCTTCAGAGACATATCTCAGCGAGTCCAATTTCCCAAAACATTTTCGCTTTAAAATATTGAATTGTTGGGATTTTATGAATTACTCAATATATGAAAAAAAGAAAATCTTTCGAAAAATCGCACTACTCCCCTCCAGGTCTCTTGAGATCAATTTACATTCCGTGAGCCTCCTCTAGTCCGCTAGGACAATTTTTCGAAAGATTTTCTTCATTTTTAAAGAATATTTAAAGGAAGGTAATAGAGGATCATATGCTAATTTTAACTAAGTAGAATTTATCTTATATAATACAACTCTTCGAGCAATTTCTAAGCTAACATGGGTACAGTTCCTATAGGAAAGAACCCATCTTTTGGTATATTTTGATAAGTCTCCTAGGGCCATTCTTTGAGATGCGACGTTAATTTTTTCGCAGGGTTGTAGCATAGTGAGAGCAATTCTAGTTTCTACATATCAGCTCTCAAGGAGGTCCATTTCTTGAGAGATAGCTTTTTCTGAAAACCCCATAGTTGTCAAAAACCCATTTTTTGAGAGGACTGTTCTGATCAAACGCAATAATGTAGCCAGCTGAACCTTTCAGTACTCTTTCCATAGTGAAAATTTCAAATTCATATCTAATTCCTAGCAAAAGGTTTAAATTACGGAAGTTACCAAAAATGTTCCTTTTTTCATATATTGAGTAATTCATAAAATCCCAACAATTCAATATTTTAAAGCGAAAATGTTTTGGGAAATAGGACTCACTGAGATATATGTCTTTGAAGCATTTCAGCTCAATCAGTTGAATTATTCTTGCGATAGGACTCCAATAGAATAAGCTTTCTAGATATCGTGAATGTTGGGGCTTTTCGTATAATGCTCATAAAAAATCAAATGATTAATATTTTTTAAACGGTTTGTGTCAAAATTCTTAGAACTCATCCCTTTACAACATATCTTTAGTTGAACGCAATATGGAGACCTCGATTGAACCGCTTCTATGTCAATCCATCATGGCTTATGTGGACTGGCTCATGTGTAGCAGTGATCGAAGAAAAAACGATGCTAGAAGAATAAAATGCGCTCGATAGTATAACACTAATTCGTAGATTGATATCATTTTTTCACTTAATTTTAGTGTTTTCAAATAAAAATACTGATTGTCGAATTCACTCTAGGTTAATTAACTGGATATCCAGTAGTGCTTGGTACCCAATCGGGCTGATGTTCAGTGATTGAGTCGCGACTGGAGGGTGTATCCCTACTGCCACGAAAGCGGTTGAAATTAGCTGAAGTCAAATGAAATCAGGTTTTAATTTCGGAAATCAGAAATCACGAAATCAGTTTGTTCTCCCTTGGTTCCAAGCAAAGCTGATTTGGTACGACCGGTTACCGATGGACCGGCTACCGTTAAGAACCGGTTACCGGTGATTCACCGTAACTGTTGCATGGCTACGCTGTAGTCATATATAATTAGTGAGTGAAATGATTGTGACTTTTGGAAAATCAGTTTAGACGCAACAAAAAACCTTATAGAGTTCATTCATTTCTTAGAAAATCGAACATTCAATTAGCATATCTATATTAGAGCATGCCTCCCACGGAAAAAATTTCACTAAAAAAACGCGGTAAACCGCG